CCACTTACCTCTCATTGTGTTTCTCTCCAACAAGTGCACCCACCGTCCGGAAAAAATCTCTAAAAAAAAAAGAAAAACCTTCTTAAAATATAAAAGAGAGGTGCAGCTCACACACGCCTGATAATTCTAGCACATACTACCAAGTCCAGCGTGGGGCCACTGGTGGTGTTGAAGCTGCCGGGCCTGTGCCAGGCCCAGCCGCCCGCCAAATGGTGGCTACGGTGCTGGACTCCCATGTAGTCGACTGCAGTTCAAGTCCCAGATCCTGTGGCTTAAGACTCAAGCCGGGCCGCGTGTGCGTGCATGCCCTCGCAAGGAGAATGGAGAAGGGATTGCGTCGTGGCCATCCTCTTGGGGAGTGATTTTTGTTTTCTGTGTCTCTGTCTCCCTAGCAAGTGCAGGCATAGCAAAAATCTCTCAAAAAAAAAAGAAAAAAAAAAAAAAAAGACTGGGTTGGGGGGGGTTAGCCAGTGACCTGGTGATAATGGTGCTGGATCCCACATGGCTGACTCTGCAGTTCAAGTCCTGGCCCTGGCAGCTAGAAAAGAACTCCGGCCCATGTGCGTGCCCCAAATCCCAAGAGGCAGTGGAGAAAAAGAGATTGCAGCACGGCCATTTCTGCCCAGGGGTGGCTCTCTCACTTCCAGGCAAGTGCACATGCCCTATAGCAAAACTAAAAAGGGAAAAAGAGAGAGGATTGGTGTGAGCCAGCCCGTAGCTTTGTGGTTAAGGCAACTGGGTCCTACATGGCCCACCACAGGTTTGAGTCCTGAACCTGGAGGCTGAAGAGACACACTCGCGTGTGCGTGTCCAAACCGCACAGGAGGTGTGGGAGAGGAAATTGTGGCCTGATCTTGCCCATTGCGAGTGCGTACTCTCTCTCTCTGTCTCTGTCTCTCCCCCTTTCCTTTCCTCACACCCTCCATGAGTACACATGCCCTTCTGCAAACTTGAAGAAGGAAAAAATAATTCGTTGTAAATCCGATTCTAAAATGACCATGATCTTTGACTCAGGGTGTATTGTTTAACAGCCTGAGTCCTTAGCCCCCTCAGTTGATGTGGATCCGACATGAATGCTTCATCTGAAGATGACGAATACTGAGTGCTTCACTTACTTATCTGTTTGTTTAGTTCTTGCTTTAGGGCACGTGCGCTGGCTAGAGAGGAAAAAAGAGAGAAAGCGAGAGATCACCCCTGAGGGGATGGCCACGCCGCAGTCCCTTCTCCTCCACTCTCCTTTCAGGGTGTTGGCCACGCACACACCCACACCTGGCATGTTTTCAAGCTGCTGGGTCTGTGACCTGAACCATGGAGTTGGCCATGTGGGATCCAGCACCTAAGCACCAGGCCAGCTGCTGGCCCTGAAGTTTATTTATTCATTTCTCCTGTGAATGAAAGATAAAACCCCCATGGGATTGTTTTTGGTTTCGTTTTTTTTTTATGATGCCTTTTTAACATCTAATTCTATTATTATTATTTTTAGATTTGCTACAGGGCACATGTACTCACCAGAGAGAGAAAGCAAGCAAACCACCAGGTCGAGGAACGAAACTGCGGGATGGCCATGAGGGAGTTCAGTACCTTAACTGCCACGCCACCTGCTGGCCGCACGCCTGCCCCCTGTGGCGTCTGGATGCCGCCATCCCTCCCTGGCTCAGTCTGCCCTGGATCGTGGCACTGCGCCAGCCTTGTCCTCAGGGGCTCCCATGCTCTGAGCCAGAACCTGCCTGTGCGGCTCTCAGCTGCTCAGCCCCTTTGACCCTACCCGTGTCCGCGCTGCAGCACTCCAGGCAGAGCACTGGCGTGGCCTCCCTGTCACACGGGGGTTACAGCAGCTTCACTATAGCGAGCTGCTGCAGGGACGCAGTGCACAAGGGAGGCCATGCCCCTCACGGCAGCCATGACGGCAGTCTCTGACCCAGGCAGCCTGAGCCACGCCAGACACGCCGGACACGCCCACGTCAGGGCCCAGCAGGCTGCAGGGGCACTAGTCTCGCTTGCCCTCTCTCATATGTGTGCGTGTTCTCTGTCAGGAGTGCAGACAACTGTGCTTGTTATAGAGCTGGAAATAAAGGACCAGCAGGTGGCATAGTGGACTCCGCATGGCTCAGCACAGTTTGAGTCCTATACATGGTGGCTTGACAGTCCCCCTGAGCACTTACACATGTGTGCCCAAAATGCCAGGAGAAGGGATTGCAGCATGGCCATTCCTCCAGGGGGTGATTCTCACTTTCCCTCTCACTTTTTCCATCTCTCTCCTGCAAGTGCACACGTCCTAGGCCAAAAAACTTTTCAAAAAATAAATGCATAGCAGAATGCTGCAGTCTTCATGAAATGTGATGTCCAGCTCCTTTAGCAGTGATCATATTCCTGGCAGACTAGGAGAGTACACTTGAATGCTTTGAGTCCAGATCACTTATTCATTTGTTCATTTATTTTGCTATAGGACATGGGCTTGCCTGACAGAGACAGAGAGGAAAAGTGAGAAGTCACCGTCAGTGTTGATGGCACTACCACAACCCCTTCTCCGTTTTCCTCTTAGGATTTTGGGCACACAGGCACACAAACCCAGCGTGAATTTCAAGCAGCCAGGTCCAGGACTCTAACCTGCACAGTTGGCCATGTGGGATCCGGCTGCCTTTACCTCCATGCCACCTTTGACCCTGTGTATGTATATGTGTGTGTGTGTGTGTACGTACGTTCGTATGTATGAGAGAGATTTTTGCTATAGGGTATGTGCACTTGCCAGAGAGTCAGAGACAGATACAGAAAGTGAGACATCACTCCCCAGAGGTTTATGGCCATGCCACCATCTCTTCTCTTGGGATTTTGGGCACGCACGTACACACGCCCAGCATGAGGTGTTTTGGTTTTTTTTTTGAGAGGTTTTTGCTATAAGGCACGTGCACTCACCAGACAGGCAGAGAGACAGAAAGCGAGAAATCACCCCCCCAGGGAGATGGCCACGCCGCAATCCCTTCTCCTCCATTCTCCTCGGGATCCTGGGCACTCAGCACACGTGCCTGGCATGAGTTTTAAGCCACCGGGTCCGGGACGCAAACTGCGGTCGACTACATGAGAGTCCAGTGACAGCCATTATGCCAACTGCTGGTCCCCCAGGGTAACTTTTAAGCCAACGGGTAAGGCACTTGAACCACATCCACCATGTGGGTGGGAGTCCAGCACCGTGACCGCTGTGCCATCTGCTGGGCCCTGTTTATTTACTGTTAGTGGCCAGAAGATGTGTGTTCTCACCAGGGAGGCAGAGGGAGGAAGAACACATCCCTCGCGGTTCAAATCCCAGACCGGCAGCTCAGAGAAGTCTTGGAGTGTGTGTGTGCGCGCCCAAAGCCCTGAGGTGAGAATGGAGGGAAGCGACTGTGGCACGGTCATCTACTCAAGGCGCACATTCTCACCCCCGTCCCTCCCTCAGGGCAAATGCTCTCACCATAGAAAAGTTTTTCAATGTAGGATCGCAGAAAAAAGAAACACATGTCCAGTCCTGCCAAAGATATTTCTGCAAACATTTTCGTTCATTTCATTTCTTTTAACATACTTAGTTATGATTTAGATCATGTAGTATATATAAACCAGATTATCCATGGATAAGTTATAGATTACATTTGTAATTGAGGTAAAATGCATAAATAAATCATATATGCTATATACATAATATACAATTATATGTACAATTTTATACAACTTTCTATTTCAGTTTTAACTTAGTATTTTTTAATTTTAAAGTTATTTATTTTCCTTTTTTTTTTTTCCTTTGGAGAGGTTTTTGCTGTAGGGCCCATGCACTCGCCAGAAAGACAGACAGAGACAGAGAGCAAGAGATCTCCCTCCAGGGGGGATGGCCACGCCCCAGTCCCTTCTCCGTTCTCCTCTCGGGATCTTGGGCACGCACGCACACGCACACAGCATGAGTTTAAGCCACCGGGTCGAGGACTCAAACCATGGTCCACTACGTGGGAGTCCAGCAACATCGCCATTATGCCAACTGTTGGTCCCTATTTTGTTGTATTTATTATTATTATTTTAATTTGACCAGAGAGAGTGAGAAAGCAAGCTGCCATGTCCGGGATTCAGACTGTGGTCGACCATGTGGGAATCCAGCACGCCAACCCCCACGCCCTGCGCCGGCCCCTGACTTAGGATTTAAGTACTCTGGAAGGTCAGTCCGTCGCCGCCGTCGGACATCCCAGTCTGTTTTGCTTTAAAAACAGGACCTTGTGCCCAAGTTGTCTGGGCACAGGCGCCGACGTACCCAGCAGCATCTCTGCAGCCACTGACGCCCGTGGCTGTATGGACTGCCCGTGTCTGCAGCCGCAGCTCCACCAGTCAGCTGAGGGGGCTGTACGTGGGGCCGGCAGGCGGTGCAGTGGTTACTGCGCTGGACTCCCACATGGCAAACCCAGTTCAAGCCCCAGACCCAGTGGTTTGAAACTCACGCTAGGCACATGTGCGTGCATGCCCAAAATCCCAAGAGTAGGAGAAGGGATTGCATTGTGGCCATCCCTGCTGGGGGTGATTTCTCACTTTCTGTCTCTCTGTCTTTCTGACAAGTGCATGCGCCCTATAGCAAAAACCTCTCCGAAAAAGAGAGAAAGGTGAAAGTGGCAGCTGGTCACACGTGTGCTCTGAAGGTGGAAAGGAAGGAGGGAGGGAAGAGAAGGGATTGTGATGTGGCCATTCCTTACCCTGGCGGTGGGGGAAGGTGGCTGTTTCACTTTCTGTCTCCCCTTCTCTGCCTCCTGCAAGCTCACAACCTTGTGCAGCACATTAAAATAAAGACGGGCCAGCAGGTGATGCGGGGGATACCCTGACTCTCACATGGCTGACCGTGGTTTGAGTCCTGGACTCGGGCGCGTGTGCGTGCATGCTCAAAATCCCAAGAAGAGAATGGAGGAGAAGGGATTGCAGCATGCCCACCCACCCTGGGGCTGGTTTCTCACTTTCCCTGTCTGTCTCTCTCTTTCTCTCTCTCTTGTGAGAGCATGCACCCTATAAAATAAAGACAAGGTGTTTAGTGTCTGTGTTAGGCCTCGTACCCTCATCTCCCGAGGAGCCTCACTCCTACGTGAAGGTCTTCACAGCAGACACATCATGCAGTGCACACGTGGCCCTGGTGGGTTTCTGTGAAGCCAGGTTCGGCTCTGGGTCAGGATGGTCTCCACATGCCCCTTTTCTCCCCTCTAGCCCTCTTGGGAGCAGGACAGTAGGTGGGAGGTACGCCCTACTGTGGCTTCACGCTGTTTCTGCCCCCAGGTGGCGTTGCTAAGGAACCAGATCGGCTCTTGGGGCTGTCCCAGGCCCAGGCGTCCTGTCAGCCCTGCACAGGTGTCAGTTATGGCCCGCGTTGAACCCTTACTGCTGGACTGTCCCTAAAGCAGTACTGTTACAGCCAAAGTGCCAACTTCCCTCCATTTTAAAGCACCCTCTTTCGGATCTCCCACCCGACCCTAAGACCCTTCTGTGTTCAGAACCCTAGGCTCTTGTTCACGAAGAGAGAGTGTAACCTGCTAGACAGGTTGAACACGCAGCTGGTGCGCAGCGCCTCACCCCGGCCACCTGTGTCCTGAATCAGGCGGGCAGGGTGGGCTGTGTAGGGACTGTGGCGCTCACGTTGTGGGACTGCTGGAGAAGCCTGCCGCGCCGGGACACCCACACTGGTGTGCCTGTGCCCTCGCCTCGTGTGTGCTCTGAGGTCGCGTCGGCTTGGTTCGGCTCTCTTAGCAGGTCGCCTGCTGCAGGTTCCAGTGTCCCGTGTCCCTGTGGTGGCAGGGATCTGCCTGTCCGGTGACCTCCTGCCCTGACTCGGGCCTTCATAGCTGCCGTGGGAATGGCCATTTCAGAGACTGCTGATTATACGCCACTGTCCCCTTCTGTCCTCTCCACGCAGCAGCCGCAGGCCGGCCCGCCGCAGACCCCAGCATGGGGCTGGACAGTGTGGACGCGGGAGATACCACGCCGCCCACCAGGAGGAAGAGCAAGTTCTCAGGCTTTGGCAAGATCTTCAAGCCCTGGAAGTGGAGGAGAAAGAGAAGTAGCGATAAGTTCAAGGAGACTTCGGAGGGTACGATGCAGACGCCCGGCCAGGTGCCCGTTAGGTAGTGGGCGGGCTCCGTTCCTGTAGCCCCCACTGGACAGGGAGTTGGAGCCTCAGAGTTTGGCCGGTGAGCGGCCGCTGCCCCACCCGTGGGCGGCCTGCTTCCCAGGTGTGCCGTCCGGTGGCCTTAGAGTCCCTGTGGTCGGCGGGCGGCGCCCCTGAGCTAAAGCCAGTCCGCAGTGTGTCTCCCACTCGCCGCTTCCCAGCCAGAGTTGGCCACAGATGCCGTGCTGAAGCGTCACCGTAAGGAGGGTCTCCAGGGCTGCTCCCTTGGGAAGTGATGCTCCCCAGTAGCAAGAGTCTGTGATCTCAGTCGATTCCCCACCTGAGGTCTGAGCCTCCCTGAACTGAGGTCTGAGCCCCCATGAACTGAGGTCTGAGCCTCCCTGAACTGAGGTCTGAGCCTGGATTCTCCCTGCTGAGGTCTGAGCCTCCCTGAACTGAGGTCTGGCCTGCACTCTCGGCCCTGCTGTGGAAGTGGGGCTAAGAGCAGCCCTGGCCCCGGGGGCCTTACTGAGGGCTCTTTCCCACTTCAATGGTAGTTTTAGAGCGGAAGATATCCATGCGAAAGCCGAGAGAGGAGCTGGTTAAACGGGGGCTGCTGCCTGAGGACGAGGAGCAGGGTGAGTTCCATCGCAGGCCCGCTGGCCCCGGGGCTGTCTTTCCCCTGCTGTTGCTGCAGTTGGGGTCGGGCGGGCTGTAGCAGCGTCCCCCTTTCTCCCGGTGTCTGTAACTCCAAAATCACACAGCAGGGAGGGTCCCTCGGACAAACCCTCCTTGCTTCCCCGGGTGGCCTCAGCTTTGTGCCGGCTACAGGACTGTTAGGCACTCATTAACCACACGTCTCCCTGTGTCATGGCTGCCCCCATCTCCTGCGCGTCTGTCCCGGAGGTCTCTTGGACACCTCATCGCTCACTGCTGGTTTAACACTGTGCTAAACAGTTGCCAGTGTGTGACTTCGTGCTTTTTTTTTTTCTCTTTTTTTTTTTTGAGGGGGAGAGGTTTTTGCTGTAGGACACGTGCTTTCACCAGAAAGACAGAGACGGAGAGACAGAATGCGAGAAATCACCCCCAGGGGGTAGGCCATGCCATAATCCATTCTCCTCTCGGGATCTTGGGCGCGCACGCACACGCACCCAATGTGAGTTTAAGTCACTGGGTCTGGGACTCAAACCGCAGCCAGCTACATGGGAGTCCAGCGACATAGCCATTACGCCAGCTGCTGGTCCCATGACTTCATTCTTTCTTGCCCTTGTTTTTGAAGCTTGCTATAGGGAATGTGCACTCAGTGGCAAGACAGAGAGAAAGCAAGATCAGCTCCGCAGGGCAGTGGCCACACTGCAGTCCCTTCTCCTCCATTCTCTTCGGATTTGGGGCACACAGGGACTCACCCATGGTGGCGTGCAAGCCATGGTCTCAAACCGTGCAGTCGGCCATGTGGGCTCCAGTGCTGGATCGACCACGCCCCCTGCTGGCTCCCAGTGTGGGACTGTCAGGGCAGTTGGTCGTATACTGAAGCCCGGTACGTCGGTTGTGTTTCATTTCTCTTCATTTGAGTTAATCTGCATGAGACAGAATCTGAATGCCAAGTATTTTTTTTAATGTTTTTTCTTCTCTCTCTCTTTTCTTTTTTAATTGCCAGAGAAGTAGAAAGAGTACCCCTCAGTGGACACTCTCTCATTTTTCTGTTTTTCTTTCCTTATTTTTTTTGAGAGAGAGGTTTGCTATAGGGTGCATGTGTTCACTGGAGAGACAGAGAACGAGAGGACCACCCCCAGTGGGGATGGCCACGCCACAATCCCTTCTCTTGGGATTTTGGGCAAGTGTGCACACGCACCTGGCATGAGCTTGAAAGGCCAGGTCCAGGTCTCAAACCACAGTCGACTGCGTGGGAATCCAGCGACATAACCATTACACCGTCTACTGGTCCCATTTTTCTGTGTTTTTCTATGCAAAAATGTGTCATGACTTTTCCCAACAGCTGTATAAATTATATGAAATTATTATCATCATTGGTTACCTCTGGAGGTTCGGGTGAGAATATGGAGGTTTTTTGTTACACTTTTGTGAACTTTCTGTGATTGGTTGTCACTGTCTTCTCAATGACTGTTCCAGTCGGGTGCTAAACCAGGTGTTTGGGTGCCTCGGTGCAGGTACAAGGCGCCCCCTGGAGCTCATACGTGGCCCTGCCTTTCCACTGCTCCCTGCTCCCGCACCCTCCCATTCTCTCTGGTCAGCTGCTCTTGCCCAATGTTTGCTGTTGGCTTTCCAGCTGTAGCTCGGAGGTCCAGTCGGTGACCTGGTGCGGTCACTGCACGGCTGGCCCCCTGCCCCAGGGCGCTGACCTCAGCCCTGCTCTGTGCAGAAGCGCTGCGTGGTGTGGGGTCTGGTGTACAGAGCCCCCACTTTAGGCCAGAAGCAGGGTTGGAACCTTGGAATCTTCTCCGCCCTCAAAGACAGCCCTTTGACTTGGCTGTAGTAGTCCACCTTGGCCGCATCAGCAGACACCGTGGATCGTCACTCACGATGTTGGAGTCCTGCCCTCCTCCAGGTCGGCACCGCGGGGACCCTGCTGGCCTGAGGTGCAGCTTGCGCAGTGACGACCCGCCATGCCGACCTACCTCTCTGCCCCTGCTGTTCTGGGTGCCCAAGCCGATGTGACTACTGCAGTCCCAAAAAGTTGCTTGGCTCTAGAGCTGCTTGTGCTGCTCCTGACCTCAGACCCTGCCCTGCTGCACACCTCACCGTTACTGGGCTACCGAGAGCGACCCTGCCGGGCTCCTGTGGGCAGGGCAGGTGGGGGACCCGTCTGTGGGGTCTGGCAGGCTCACACCGGACCCCAGGTGGTTTGCCGGGAGCGTCTCCCTGAGGAGAGTGCAGACAGATCTGCAGAGCCTGACGGTGTCAGTCCCCGTGACCTAGGAAGTGAGGCCGCGGTCTTGGTCCCATTCTCTGTCCTCCACATGTGTGTGCTGGGAGGTGGGCGCGTGGCCTTTCTCGTCTCTCCCTCTGTTGGGGCCTTGGAGCACTCGCTCACGTGCCTGTTGTGTCTCTCAAGCCGCTGGTCCAGGACTCGAGCCTGCAGGACGGCACGTGGGGCCCAGCTGCCTTTACCACCAGGCCTCGGGGCTGCCCGAGGGTTCTAGTCTCTTACCCTCCATGCTCTCTGTTCTTGCTCCTGAAGAGGTTCGGAGACCTCAGTCATCGCCGAGGGTGAGCACTGCTCTGGGAGGCCATCTCGCCATGCCCGTCACCGTCAGCGTCATGGTGGGGCTGGTCACATAGTCGTCCTCTGCACTGAGCCGCAGCTCATCATGAGTCCCTGTTCCAGTCACAGTCCCTGTCACCCAGCCCTCAGCACTGGCCTCTCCTACACGCCAGGCCGTGCCTGTGGTGCCAGCTCCAGCTTCCCTGGAGCAGGCTCCTCGTACCCTTCTAGCCTCTCCAGGTCCCCGCACGGCTGCTTCTCCCGTGTCCCGTCAGGTC